ATATCTACAAATTTTCGTGAGTTTTGGATACTTTATTATTAAAATATAGACGAAAACGTTACGTGTTACTACTTTTGCCAGGGACTGTATGTATTTAAATTATTTAATAAATAAATTCTTTAAAAAGATTCTTTTATTAAATTATAATATTAAGAGAATATAATTTTAATATAAATTACAAAAAAAAATTATATTCATTTTAATATTAACTCTATTATTCAAAATAAAATTAATATTTATAATTATTTTTAATTACTTATATTATCAGATAATTTCTTAATTAATCAAACTTATAAATTTCTAGTAAAAAATCAAATAGTATTATATAAATAAAATTATTTATTTAAAAAAATAAGATAAATTTAAATAGTTTTAGCAAGTTATTAAAGTAATAGATTTTAAAATTATCATATATAATATATATTTTATTAAATATTTTAAAATAAAAAATAATAATTATTATATATAATAAAATATTATTAATTACAAATATATAAAGATATTAATATTTATATTAAAGTCTATAATATATATTAATATAAAAATAAAAACAAAAAGAATAATAAGTTAATATTAATTTTAATTATATAACTTTTTAAGAAGATTAATATTAATCTTATAAATTTATTATTAATTATAAAAAATAATAATTACTATATTATTATAAATTATTTTATTAAATAAATTAAAATTAAAATTATATTAGATATTATTGCAAGAAATATAATTTAATTTCTTTGTAAAAATATTATCTATAAATATAAATTTTTTAAAAAAATAATATTAGATCAAGAAATTATTTTTATTAATAATATAATTATACTACTCAATAAATATTAAGTTTAATATTATTTATTTATATTATATTATTTCTAGATAAATAACTTGATAAAATACTTGAATAAAGTAATTTATATTATATTAGTATAATATATTTAATTATATAAACAAGATTAAGATTATTATATTTCAAATATCTTATTTACTTACAAAATAATGAGATAAAGTATTATTTAATTTAAATTATATTACTTAATAAAATAATTATTAAGTATATTATTTGTTTTATATAAAAAAATATAAAAAATTAAATATATATTAAAATAAATTCATATTTTTTTTTAACTTATATATTTTATATAATATAACTTCTTTAAGTAATTTTAATATTTGAAATCTTATATCTAAAATATATTAATATTTTTTATTTTAATCAAATAATAAATTATAATATCATGATAATAAATATATTAATTATAATCAAAATAAATTTAGATTCTAAAAAAATATAGTTAAAAATATATAATAAGTAATATATTAACAAATATAAAAAGAAGAAATTATAATCAATAATATTTTTAAATAATTATTAGATAAATAAATTAAGAAAAAAATCAAAAGTATAAGAAAAATTCTTGAAAAGTATAATTTTAATTAATAAAAAAAGTTTATTTGATATATAAATAATATTCTAAAAAAAAGAATAATTTAAAAAAATCTGATCATTATGCTTAAAAAAATAATAATATTACAATTTCATTTTTATAAACAAAAATAAATATTAGAAAAAGTAATTATCAAGATAAAATATATAAAATATATATTCAAGTGATTCTTTAAATATCATTATAAATATAATTTTATAAAGATATTAAAAATAGAAAACTAGAAAATTTATATATCTATAATTATACTAACTTATTAAAAAAATTTCTAAAGTTTTTATATGTGTTTCTGTAAAAACTAATTATAAATTTGCTTGTAAGTCATAAAGATATACAGATGCCTATAATAAGAAATTAGAAGATAAACTAAATCACATCATCACTTACCTGAAAATATTGAGAAGGATATCAGATCTGATTACATCAATAATAACTTAATTCCTCAAGAAATTCATAAGTAGTAAGTATAAAAATTATAAGCTTGAATAAAATTGATAATGTTTATGTTTATTAATTTTTAACCAATTTTTTTCATATTCAAAATTTTAAAGTTTGTTAATTTTTCCGGTTGCCGATACTTTCTTGTTTGCTGCACACGAGGGAGCTTCTGTGTTAAATTTGGTCGCGTGCGATAATTTTTAATTTTCTCTTTATAGCGCGCCACTTATATGCACATATATTTTAAAGAAAGGGTGAGTAATGTCACACAAAAATATATGTTTTCTACAAACTTTCGCACAACATGACTCGTAAACTATTAAACTATCGACCCCCTTTTTAAAACTCTTTAACGAGTGAATACGTCTGTTCCCGCTTACTCTCGTCTCTTTTGAAGTGCTCTTTATAATAATATAATAATAGTAGGCAAGATTAAATATTATTCCTCAGGGAATTTTTTCGGACGACGCGTCTATTTTCCCTCCACGTATATAACGATAAACATTATTTTTCTTGAAAAAGAAACACTGTTATCAAGAAAAAGTAAAGATAGAAAACAATGACTATAACCATCGGCTTTTTTGCTAACCGCGCATGGAACACCATCGTACCTATATACCCGGAAAATTATATCTCTTTATTTATATTGGGATTCTTTTCATTATCTTTTCTAACAATATTTCTGATACCTAAACACCATGTGTGTAAAAGAACTGCGAAGTTTCCATTGCCAAGTCAAAAATTATGGAATGTGGTTACCGACTTTAGCTCTTATCCACGTTGGCGTTCAACTTTAACAAAAATTGAGACCAATCCCCATGGACATATACCTCCTGATGGCTTTGAATGGTTCCGAGAACTCACTCCCTATGGAAACATAAAGTATCGTGTGATTGAACGATACGAAGGTAAAATGTTTAAACAAGAGGTAACTTATGTCTTTATAGCATTGAACAATTATACGCGTGTATATACGAATTCCATAATTAATATACTCTTAATTAGATTGTGCGTGAAAAAGGAGTATATATAAGTGGTAGTTGGACAATTGAATTTGAATCAACTGGCAAGGAATCTACTCGAATAACAATTACTGAACAAGTTACCATTCACAAGACAATACCAAAAATAATAGGATTTTTGAATGGATATAATAAAAATATCGACCAATTTCTAACTGATCTTGCAAATAAATTCGAACAAGTGGTCGTGTTGAAAGATGTCGTTGACACACAAAAACCACCACTTTTATCTTCAAATCCACCACATTATATTCAGCAGATCAACGAAAATATTTATGAAAAGAAGAATGGAAAAAAGTTTACGCGTGAAAATTATGAGGAGGAAAGATGAAAGGCAAAATTGGAATAGGAACCATTTGATATTTCTTATTTATTGAATTTACCCTTCATGAAAATTTTTTAGCTAATAATTTAAAATATATAATTTAAAATATATAATTTAAAATATATAATTGAATCAAATGTATAGCACACAAGTCACAATAGTAAATAAAATACTTTGCAAAGCTCATCTTAATCTAAAAAAAATCTGGGCCAGAATTTATACGAATCCGTCTTATCCAGAAGATCTTGACCAATAGATAATACTGATCTCGAAATGGTCTAAATTCCAACTTGGTCCAGAACATATATAACAGATCTGAATACTTTCGCATTTGTTCATGGATAGTTATCAAAATTACTCTGATTCCCCTTCTAATTTACCTAATGGCTACACCGATTACTCACAAATTCCACAGGAATACCCTCCACCTTCAGGAGATGCACTAGACGCAGACGAAGAAATATCACAAGAAGACTGCTGGACGGTCATATCTTCCTTTTTTAATGACAAAGGACTTGTCCGGCAGCAGTTAGATTCTTTTGATGAATTTGTTCAAAACACAATGCAAGAAATAGTTGACGAGAATAGATCCTTAGTTTTGCAAAACATACAAGGAAGTGGTGAAGGTGATCAAGCGGTAAAGTTTCACCATTTTTATTTATTAAGGTTTTCGTATCAAGAAAAATTTGCCGGAGAATCATGTTATCTTGTGTACGTTAGCGACGGTATTATATTCAATTTGGTCAAGTTTATTTATCAAAACCAACTATGACCGAAGCTGACGGAAGTGTACAAGCAATGTTTCCTCAAGAAGCGCGCCTCCGAAATTTAACGTAAGATATCGCTACATCTTGATCCCGTATGATATCAAGTAGATTTAACTATAGCGATTAAAATATTTTAGATATGCTGCACCGCTTTACGTTGATATGAAGAAAAGAACTGTAGATGCAGATCCAAGAGCTCTTGAAAATAAAGATAGGCCCAACGTGACCGAGATGTTTGATGAAGAACATCTAGAAGATGAAGAGGACAATAGCCAAAATACGTCTGATAATAACTTTACCAAAGTATTTGTGGGGAAGGTAAATAAAAACTAATTCTAAATAAGCAATTTAATTGTGGGTCCTTTTACATATCTTTTACATATGTATACGTCAAATTTCTAGGTTCCTATTATGCTAAGATCGGATTTCTGTGTATTAAGTAAATTGAGCGATCGAGAATTATATTCCTTGAATGAATGTCCATATGACCAAGTGATAAAACAAATTATAATTAATTTCTTTTATTATTATTTTAATTATTTTAATTGCTAATTTTTTAAATATGGGTATTTTTATAGGGTGGTTACTTTATTATAAACGGGTCTGAAAAAGTTTTGATTGCACAAGAAAGAATGGCGTCGAATACTGTATATGTTTTTGCGAAGTCGGCGCCATCTCCTTATTCTTATACGGCAGAAATAAAAAGTGCCGTTGAAAAAGGTTCAAAGACAGTAAATCAATTAACCATTAAATTAATGGCAAAAACAGCCGAAAAAGGTGTACGTATTCAAGTATAGAACTGTTGTAAACTTTATACTGATAATTATTTTCATCAATAATTCAGGCTACTGGGCAATTTATACACGCAAATATGCCTTATATAAAAAAAGATGTGCCTGTTTTAATCGTGTTTCGTGCTCTTGGTCTGGTGGCAGATAGAGATTTTTTAAGTCATATTTGCTATGATCCTCATGATACTCAAATGCTAGAAGCTTTAAAGCCATGCATTGAAGAAGCTTTTGCAATCCAGAATCAAGAGGTAAATAATTTTAAATTTTTCATAAATATTTTAATTTCCAGTAATTTAACAGATAATGTGATTAATAATAGGTTGCACTAGACTGGATCGGTCGTAGAGGCACAGCAAGTGGCGCAATCAAAGATAAACGCATAAAGTGCGTAACATTTCATACTCTAGAATTAATTTCATCATAATCAATTTCTTATACTGAAAGTATCTGTAATTAGATATGCAAAAGAAATTTTGCAAAAAGAATTGCTGCCTCATGTTGGTACAACCTTTAGATGCGAGACAAAAAAGGCATTCTTTTTTGGCTACATGGTGCATCGATTACTTCTTGCTGCTCTTAACCGTCGAGAATTGGATGATCGTGACCATTATGGCAAAAAGAGAATGGATCTGGCTGGGCCTCTTTTAGCTATCTTGTTCCGTATGCTTTTCAAAAAACTCACAAAAGATATCGGATTATATCTTAGAAAGGTTCGTTCGTTGCTAATTTGTAAATTATGAAATATTGATAATAACTATTATTATAATTATGAAAAATAGTGTATAGATTCAAGTCGCGAATTTAATCTTAATCTTGCTATTAAAGCGCAAACTATTACCAACGGATTAAAGTACTCTTTAGCGACTGGAAATTGGGGTGACCAAAAGAAAGCAATGCAGGTAATTCTCAGATGAAAGTTTTGACTAAAAAACGCTTCGTTATTTGAGAATTGATTATATTTTTTTTGGTATCTTTTAGGCTAGGGCTGGCGTTTCTCAAGTACTAAACCGATATACATTTGCTTCCACGTTATCTCACTTAAGGAGATGTAATACGCCTATGGGTCGTGACGGAAAAATTGCAAAACCGCGTCAACTTCATAATACCCATTGGGGTATGGTTTGTCCTGCTGAAACACCAGAAGGACAAGCTTGTGGATTAGTCAAGAATCTTGCTTTAATGTCATATATTTCAGTCGGAAGTTCATCTGGACCAATTATTGAATTCTTGGAAGAATGGGGAATGACAAACCTTGAAGAGTTGCAATCCGGTGCCAACATTGGAATGAACGCATTTACCAAAGTTTTTGTAAATGGCAGTTGGGCAGGCGTGTCCAGTGATCCAGAAGCATTAGTAGATACACTCAAGCGTTTGCGACATTGTGTTGACGTGAGCCCCGAAGTCAGTGTTGTCCGAGATATCCGTGAAAAGGAGTTGAGATTATATACGGATGCTGGAAGAGTTTGTCGTCCATTATTTATCGTGCAGAACTCAAGATTGCTTATAACAAAACAACATATACGTAAATTAGATGAGGCGGTGAGCAAAATCTTAAAGGCTTACTAAATAAATACTCTCATTATTTAGAGTAAATAATTTGTTTATTTAATTTAATAGAAAGCTCTTGCTGAGCAAGCTGTAGAAAAAGACAAGAAACAAAAATTTGGCTGGCAAGATTTAATTTCCAATGGAGTCATCGAGCTTATCGATGCAGAGGAAGAGGAAACTATTATGATTTGCATGACTCCTGAAGATTTAGCAGAATCACGAAGATTTCATGAAGGAACACCAATAGAAGTGGAAAGAACTAAAGAAAGAGATATAGCTGCTCGAGTGAAAAGTAACTCTGCCACATACACCCATACGTGGACACATTGTGAAATTCATCCTAGTATGATTTTAGGGATCTGTGCCAGTATTATTCCCTTCCCAGATCACAATCAAGTAAGTTACTATAATTTAATATTTTTAGATTTTGTCTTTTTACGTTATAAGTTCATCATTTATGTTTATTTAGTCGCCACGTAATACATATCAATCAGCTATGGGTAAACAGGCTATGGGCATTTATGTCACAAATTATCAATTACGAATGGATACATTGGCGAACATACTTTATTATCCACAAAAACCACTAGTCACGACACGTGCAATGGAGTTTTTACGTTTTCGTGAATTGCCTGCTGGTCAAAATGCTATTGTTGCTATATTGTGTTATAGTGGCTATAACCAGGAAGATTCGGTCATTATGAATCAAAGTAGTATCGACAGGGGATTATTTAGAAGTATGTTTTATCGGAGTTATATGGATCAAGAGAAGAAAGTGGTAAGTAAAATTCCTTTGTATCATAACCTCTTCTTTCCATAATATAAATATTTGTGATCAAATCCTCTTAAATATTTCATAGGGAATGTTGACAATAGAAGAATTTCAGAAGCCAACCAAAGAAACTACGTTACGTCTCAAGCACGGCACCTATGAGAAACTTGAAGACGACGGGTTGGTCGCTCCTGGTACACGTGTATCTGGAGATGATATTATTATTGGGAAAGTTTCACCCATTCCACCAGATACAATGGAGCTTGGTCAGCGTCAAAGTACACACACTAAACGTGATGCATCCACACCGCTAAGAAGCACAGAAACTGGAATAGTTGATCAAGTTATGGTCACTACAAACCAAGAAGGGATGAAGTTTGTAAAAGTACGAGTTCGTAGTACACGTATTCCTCAAATGGGTGGTGAGTTTCCAACTTGAAAAAGTAATGAGTACATTTTTTATTTAATATACTTAAATATTTTAAAATTGCCCAAAAGACAAATTCGCTAGTCGTCATGGCCAGAAAGGAACCATCGGTATTACTTATCGACAAGAGGATATGCCGTTTACTGCCGAGGGTATAACACCAGATCTTATTATAAACCCGCATGCTATACCGAGTCGTATGACAATAGGTCACTTGGTCGAGTGTTTGCTGGGCAAGGTATTATCTTTTATGTAAAGGATTAGTGCATTGTTTTCATAAACAGTCTGTTTTCATTTCAAATCACTGTTATAAGGTATCAACTTTAACTGGGAGTGAAGGTGATGCAACACCATTCACAGAAGTAACAGTTGAAGCCATTTCCGCTAGCCTTAGAAGTCAAGGATATCAATCACGTGGCTTTGAGGTTATGTACAATGGGCATACAGGGCGTAAATTGGCAGCGCAAGTTTTTCTCGGTCCAACTTATTATCAGCGACTTAAGCATATGGTTGATGATAAAATTCATTCACGTGCAAGAGGACCTGTACAAATATTGACCAGACAGCCTGTAGAAGGACGTAGTCGAGATGGTGGCTTACGTTTTGGTGAAATGGAAAGAGATTGCATGATATCTCATGGCACAGCAATGTTTTTAAAAGTAAGTGGTTTTCTATTTATCAAAGTTTTGATTTGATATTTTGTTGTTGATGTTCATAATGTTTTTATTAAAAGGAACGCCTTTTTGATGCGTCGGATGCCTATCGTGTTCATGTGTGTGATATTTGCGGTTTAATGGCTATTGCAAATCTAAAGAAAAATACATTTGAATGCAAGGCTTGCAAAAATACAACTCAGGTTTTTATACAAAATAATATATAAATATAATTTCTCTACAATATTCCAATTTACATCTTTTTTTTACAGATATCTCAAATTCACATTCCATATGCTTGCAAGTTGCTATTTCAAGAATTAATGGCAATGAATATATCTCCAAGATTATTCACATAATAATATCTAATAGAATAAGGTAAGTATGAATATAAATACATTGTTGGAATTTTTATTATGAAATCATTTTGGAATATATATCAAAAAAAAGACTAACTTAAATGCATGAATGAATAATTTTAATATTATAAACATGAAATATTTATATTTCAATCTAGAAAAATTGTATATTAGTAAAAATTAAATTAAAATAAATAGAAGATCCTGATTTTTTTAATAATAACAATATTTTTAATGAATTATAAATATAATTAAATTTTTTTATTATTTATTATATTTGTTATAATTAATTAATTAAACATTTTTTTAAATTAATTTAGTTTGTTAAATAATTATAATTCTTTAATTTTTGAAACAAAAATTTTTTTTATTAATGAATTGAATTTAATTCTTTATATTAATTTTAGTATATTTTTCTTATTAATATGATGCTTGATAAAAAATTATAAAATATAAAATTAATATAAATTTTGAGAAGTTTAAAATGAGTTTTTACTAAGTTATCATGATTTTTTATTAAAAAGTGATATTAATAATTTTAGATTAATAAAATTATTTAGCAGGTATAAAAATAGCTAATTATCAATTTTGAATTAACTTTAGTATAATTATTGCAATTTTTTGATATATAATTATTTTTTATTCTAGGTAAAAACTTTGTAAAATATTTTTAATAACTTTTATTTAGCAATCATATCTTGAGTAAATAAGTAAAAAAGTTATTTATAAGAATTATATTAATATATAAATACTTAAAATTTTATTAATAAAAGCATTATTTTTAATAATTAAATCTAATATGAATATTTAATTATTGATTCTTGTCATTAATAATCAGTAGTAATTATTTTATATTAATTATAATTAAAAAGTTAATAATTAAAAAAATTAATTATTATCAATTAGTTTAATATTAATAATAATTAGTAAAAATATGAAAAATCGATTGTCAAGCACTATTAAAATATTCTGATGTGTTTTTCTTATTGATGTGTTATTAAAAGTACAAAGTTATTTAATTTTTTTTAAATTTCATATTCAAATTGTTTATAGATTTTAAAAGTCTGATATTTCAAAATTGTGCATAATAATTATTAATTATTTTTTTGATATTATAGTAATTTATGACTTCAAGAATATATATTCCAAATTTGATAATGTTTGCTTTTCTTATTGACGTGCAAAGTTATTCAATTTTTATTTAAGAATGAATCTACTTGGAACACCCTGTTCCAGGAACAATCTCAGAAATTTGAATTCAGATGGGTCCAGATTGGTCCGGAGAAGGTCAGAAAATTATTTAATACAAAATAAAGAATTAATTTTTTTACATAGTAAAAAGTGATTTT